TGGGAAGTGGAGCAGCTGGGACTTGAACCTGTGCCCATATAGGATGCTGACACTGCAGGCGGCGGCTTTACCCGCTACGTAACAGTGCCGGCCCCCAGACTGATTTTTTTTTTTTTACGTCTTATGATTTACTTTTATTTATTTGAAAGGTGAGAGAGAGAGAGAGAGAGAGAGAGAGAGTGAGCTTTCATCTGCTGGTTCCACTGCAAATGCCCACAACAGCAGAGGCTGGGCCAGGCCAAAGCCAGGAACCTGGAACTCAGTCCAGCTCACCCACGTGGGTGGCAGGGACCCAACACTGGAGGTATCAGCTGCTGTCAGCATTAGCAGGAACCTGAATGGGCACTCTGATGTGGGATGTGGGTATCCAAAGCAGTGGGTTAGCCGCTGAACCGCAATCTTCACTCTCTGATTCTTTTTACAAAATGTTTCAAAACATTTAGGAGGAAGGGAAGGGGAAAGCAAGGAAGCCCATCTGTTGATTCATTCCATAGATACCTACAATGACTAGGGCTGGTCCATGACAAAGCTGAAGCCAAAAACACAATCCGGGTCTCAAATCACCGCTGCCTCCCAGAGTCTGCACTGACAGGAAACTGGTGTCAGGAGTCAGAGCTGGGAATGGAACCCAGGCACTCTGATGTGGTGTATAGGCATCTGAACTATGGGCTAAAAGCTTTTTAAAAAGCTTAAATAGCTATCTTTAGGAAGATAATTTTATATAAAAATTGGGAACCTAATCACTTGCTATAAACAGAAGGAAATTAGAAGAAAAAAAGTAAAACAATTACTATTTCCTAAAAGTATGCCTACATCCCACAAAAATGTCCCTCACCCCTGGTGGTGCAGGTGCCATCCCTTGGGAACGCTTGGGTTGATGGAGATGGGAGACTAACTCGGTCATTGCCTGTCCCATTGTTCTAGGCCTGGTGTGAGGCCCTGGGCTTGACCCCAGAGGTACAGCTCTAAAGGCACAGTCTCACTGAGATCCGCTTGAAGCAGACTCAGAAGGAGAGTGGCAGGGCCGCTTGGTGTGTGTCTGGAAAGCCAGAGCTGGAGGGAAAAGTCAGTTTCCTTTGGATGGCTTGGCTGTGGGAGCAGGACAGCTGCCGTCCCAGTGGAATTCACGGCTCCTTACCCATCAAGTCAGGGCTGACTCCTAACTCACCTGTCACAGTTTATCTTAGTAACCGACTCAAGGTATACAGACTTCAGCCTCTTTAAATGTCACAGCCTTCCAGGGCCTCAGAAGAGTTTAAAATTGTTCTTTCCGATCAGTGGCTGGCTGGGGAGATGTTTGTTTTTCCTGGTTGGGGTTCTTGGAAGCCGCCCTCTTCTCTCTCCTTCGGATGAACTTTCTGCTTGAGATCTCTTGGCAATTGAGTCATCCTGTGGTTTGTGATGTGGATGGCTCCCCAAATCATCTTTGCTGTCCTTGACAGCAAATGTAGGCGAGAGCGTGGGCTTCAGATTGACAAGTGCGATCTAGGCTTTGCTGCTTACTACTTGGGCAATGCCAAGTACCATGCTAGGGTACTTGTCTCTTGGAAAAGACAGGGAGATAAACAAATATGGCAAGACAATCTAATAAGTGCTAAGACAGTAGTAAGAACAGATCAGCAACTACTAGAAAACAAAGATATCAGACCAGACCAAGAATGGCAAAGAAGGCTTCAGGAGTTGACACTTGAATCAGACTTTGAACAGACAATTGGAGTGGGGACAGGTGCTCCTGGAACTGGGAGCAGCAGAGGGGTGAGTTGGAACCCAGGTTTTCTCATCTGCAAGAGACCAAAGTAATCCTCCCTGGCTCACTGAGTTGATATGTGGAGACTGTCTGATGTTACTAAGGATGCAAAATAAATGCCTAACCTGTTAAGTTGAACTCCTTCACCATTGCCCTGTGTACCCACAGCCTGTGGTTTATCCTCAGTTGTGGTACCTAGAACGTGGGGTCTTGGGGTGTATCTGTTTATGAGGCAATGGTCCCTGGTGGACTGAAACTCCCTACAGAAGGACTAGAAGGCACAGCATCCTTGAATATGAGTGTGACTTCTTCCACTAGTAGAACTTCACTGAACTAGCCAAACCTCCAAGAGAAATTCCAGATGGATGTTTTTCCAGAGAGATATTAATGTTTGAGAATAGTTTCAGGGGTTGGCGCTGTGGTGTAGGAGGTTAAGCCTCTACCTGTGGTGCCAGCATCCCATATAAGTGCCGGTTCATGACCCGGCTGCTCTTCTTCCAATCCAGCTCTCTGCTTATGGCCTGGGAAAGCAGTGGAAGATGGCCTGAGTGCTTGGGCCCCAACACCCATTATAGGAGACCTAGAGGAAGCTCCAGAATCCTGGCTTCAGACCAGCCCAGCTCCGGCCATTGCAGCCATTTGGGGAGTGAACCAACAGGTGGAAGACCTTTCTCTCTGTCTCTCCCTCTTTCTGTCTGTAACTCTGCCTCTCAAATAAATAAACATTTTTTTAAAAGGCTTAGAAAAGTATTCTGCAAGTAGTAGGCACATTGCAGAATTTGTAGAATGAATCCTGAAGCACACAAGGTGAGGCCCCAGACTGACTGTGCTCAGCACTGTATTTGCGTGGTGTGCTGTGTGACTCATGGAGGCATTTGAGAACTGGGTGTCTGCTCCAGCAGGCTGTGTAGACTGACTACTTAAGTCCTCTTCCTTTCTATCTGCATAAACAACATGGATGCCGTAATTGGGCCAAGTGCCACTACAAGGGGTCTTCACACAATTCATGGAGAAGTGCATATTTTTAAAAAACTATTATGCAGCTATTTCTAATTTTTTTGCATCAAGGTAAACATACCTTTTTTCTCAAAGGTTTACTTATTTATTTGAGAGGCAGAGTCACAGAGAGAGGGGGAGAGACAGAGAGAAAGAGATCATTCATTTGCTGATTCACTCCCCAAATGGCCACGTTGGTCAGGGCTGGGCAAGGCTGAAGCAGAGGGCCAGGGACTTTATCTGGGTCTCCCATGTGGGTGCAGGGATCCGAGTACTTGGTCATCTTCCACTGCTTTTCCAGGCTCATTAGCAGGGAGCTGATCAGAAGTGGAGTAGCTGGGACTCAAACTGGTACCCATATGGGATACCAGGACTGTGGACAACAGTATAACCTACTGTACCACAGCGCCGGCCCCTATAAGAAAAGCTTTTAATTCCACTTTTCCACAAAGTTCTCAAGTGCTTTGTATTTTGCTATTGTTTCTTTGCATATTTTCTGCACTCCTGCTGCACCAGGATCCAGTGCTATGACTCAGGGTGGGCTGCTCCATTGTATTTTCCAGTCTCTGCTTTGCTGCTGCTGTTTTGTGTAGAGTTCTCTTCTACAGAGAATGTTCCATAGCAGGTTCCTGAGGCACCAGAGGGTGCTTTCCTTCACTTTTTTTAAAAAAGATTTATTTATTTATTTATTTGAAAGTCAGAGTTACACAGAGAGAAGAGAGGCAGAAAGAGAGAGAGAGAGATCCTCCATCAGGTGTTTCACTCCCCAATTGGCCACAACAGCCAGAGCTGCGCCGATCCGAAGCTGGGAGCCAGGAGCTTCTTCTGGGTCTCCCACATGGGTGCAGGGGCCCAAGGACTTGCGTCATCTTCCACTGCTTTCCCAGGCCATAGCAGAGAGCTGGATAGGAAGTGGAGCAGCCAGGACTCGATGGGGTGCCGGCGCTTCAGGCCAGGATGTTAACCCGCTGTGCCACAGTGCCAGCCCCCTTCCTTCACTTTCATTTTGAGATAACCACTGGCTACAAGAGAATGAGGGCTCAACTGATCTGAGAAAAGTGGTACCAGATAGCCAGCTGGCCAATGCTGCTGTCACACCTATCAGTCCAGAGTCCATTCCCCAGACATCTGTGACCACAGCATCCTGCCTCCAGAGGCAGAAGTGGTGTCTCTAGGCTTGTCTTCCCTTGCTTTCCTGTGCTTCTTTGGCCTCTTTGGCCATAACACCATGCCCAGCCATTCCAAATCTCCTTCTGAGTGCTGGAGAGGTGGAGAGAAAAATAACCATCTGGTCCTAAAGCTTTGAAAGATATGGTAAGCCAGGGCAGGCGCCGTGGCTCAGTAGGCTAATCCTCCACCTTGCGGTATTGGCACACCAGGTTCTAGTCCCGGTCGGGGTGCCGGATTCTGTCCCGGTTGCCCCTCTTCCAGGTCAACTCTCTGCTGTGGCCAGGGAGTGCAGTGGAGGATGGCCCAAGTGCTTGGGCCCTGCACCCCATGGGAGACCAGGAGAAGTACCTGGCTCCTGCCATCGGATCAGTGCGGTGTGCTGGCCACAGCGCGCTGGCCGTGGCGGCCATTGGAGGGTGAACCAACGGCAAAAGGAAGACCTTTCTCTCTGTCTCTCTCTCTCTCACTGTCCACTCTGCCTGTCAAAAAAAAAATAAATAAATAAATTAAAAAAAAAGATATGGTAAGCCAGGCACATGGCAACATCCCCTGCCTTCTCCATCATCATCGTGGAATGAGACCCCTGGGACTAGAACTGGGTTCTCTCCAGCTCTGATACCCATAATGTGGCATCTTAATAAATGCTTGTTGAATGTGGGTGAATGAATTTTAGCCTTGCCCTAATTCTCAGAGCAATAAGAGTTTAGGGTGGGGAATTCTTGGGCAGCCTAGGCTCCTGCTCACTTCACCCCTCACATTGCCTTGGCCACAGTAACTCAGGCCTGGGGGATTGTGTGCTGTGCCCTTGTTGCACTTGCTGTGTGTCCAGAGTGGACTATAGGTGAGTCTCCAGAGAATGATAGCCTCACTGAGTACCTGTCCTAGGCAGGCCTTCTCTCCTCTTTGTCTTTTGCTTGCCTTTCTACTGCCAGCTTCATGTAGGTATGAGCACCGAGTTCACAGATGTGTAGCTGTGGCTAAAAGAAGGAAGAACACGAGAAAAAAGCAGGGATGGGCCTGGGCCTCTGTCCCTGCATGTGCACCTCTGTGCTTCCCCCAACCTCTTGTCATCTGTTCTCTTTTACAGGATCCCCTGGTCACACTGGCTCCGTGTCCATGAGCCCATCAGCAGCTCTCTCCACAGGGAAGCCCATGGACAGCCACCCCAGCTACACGGACACCCCAGTGAGCACTCCACGGACTCTGAGTGCAGTGGGGACCCCCCTCAATGCCCTGGGTTCTCCATACCGAGTCATCACTTCTGCCATGGGCCCACCCTCGGGAGCGCTGGCAGCCCCTCCAGGAATCAATTTGGTCGCCCCACCCAGCTCTCAGGTAGGCATCCTTCCTCTCGATGGGCTTTCCAGCCATGTTCACCAGATTCACCAGGCTGCTCCTGGAGCAGACTCAGCTCCCAGCAAGTGCCTAGTGTGTCTTGCTGGAGGGGTGGGGTTGCCTCTGCCGACTTCCCTGCAGGGCATTCATCCATCGAGTCCTCAGGCTGGGGACTGACAACTCCTGTCCAGGAGGCTGTGATCAATGCTGAGCCTGCCTTGTGGTTTTGGTCTAAGTCATCAGAGTGGTGGACCCCCTTTATTCTTCTTAAGTCAGTAATGGGCATCTACTGAGTCCATGGTGTGCCACATGGATTATTCAGAAATAATCAGGACATGGTCTTTGCTCTTTGTGAGCTTACAGCTGATGGGGAATAGGCAGGTGCTGTACCTGGAAAAATGCAGAAGGCAGACTGTGCAACATACCTATTGCCTCTGAGGCTATGGAAACTGCCTTAATTCCAGGTGCCTTCTACCATGACAGGGGGAGGGGATATGGTAGACACTGAGTTGCTGCCCTGCAAAGCCTACAGGATGGCCAGGCATCCTTTCACTCTTTCCTGCAATGCCCCCCAAGAACATCACCCCCCCACCCCCCAACCCCGTAGGTTGGCGTTTGCTGCATAATAAACAATCCTAAGCTCAAAGTGGCTTACAAAAACAGAACAGACATTTACCTTATTGTTCACAAGACTGAACTAGGCTAGGATGGCTTTGCTTCAAGTGGTGGGTGAGCTGGGCTCAGCTGCGGGCTGGACACATGTCCCTCATGTCCCAGACAGAGGAAGCAGCAGTTTCCTGGGCTGTTCTTCCCTCACGGTGTCTCATAGCAGGCCAAAAGGCCAAACCCCATCAGCAAGCCCAGGGAAGCCTCTGCTCACACGTGCCCAGTGCCACCACACTGGCCTATGACAGTCATGTGGCTGCTTCCAACATCTCTGGGCCAGGGGGATGGCTGTGTCTAACCTCATGAGAAGTACTACAGAGACATGGTGTAAAGGATGTAAACAATTTGGCCCAATAATCCCATCTACCACACCTTCCCCCCTCCCTGGATTTCAGTCAGGGACCCCACTGGCCCAACTCCCAGCACAGCTGGGAGCAGAACCGTAGGATCTTAGGATGCTCAGTTATATGTGTCTGGACCATGGGTTGTGCAGATAGCTGATTCAATGCTTCTGAGAGTGTTTTGGATGATCCTAATCTAAATAGGCAGATTGAGTCAAGCAGGTGCACCTTTCCCAGGCAGGTGGGCATCACCAACTCAGGTGAAGGTTCAGAATAAAACAAAAAGACCAACCCGCCTCTGAGCAAAAGAGCACTTTCCTGCCCAGTGACCCCCCACGATGGGACATCACTTTTCTCCTGCCTATGGAGGTGAAACATTGGCTGCTCGCGGGTCTCACACCTGCTGGCCTTGAGACTCTGCCATTGGCTCCCCTGGGACTCCAGCTTGCCCACTCCACTGTGGATCTAGGGTTTGTGAACCTCCTTATTCCCATTAGATAACTTCTTCATAGACATGTGTGTGTGTGCTTGCACACACACACACAGGGTGGGGAAGAGAGCAAGTGAGCCTGTTGGTCCTGCTTCCCTAGAGGATACTAACACAGTTCTGAAGCCAGCTTGGAATTTAGGTCACAAAGACATGGTGGGATTTCCCCTTGTACCTGTAGTATTTCCCACTCATACAGAAGAAACTTGGAGACCATGCCTAGACTCTCTCCTGGGATACCTCACATGTTAGGTATGTGACAGCAAAGCCAAGGGGAGTCACAGAATCTTAGAGGCAAGAAGAACCTCAAACATTTGTTGTTCCTTGGATTAGAGGTAATCCATTGTAGTGATTACAGGAGCTGGGACCAGGTGAGTGACACAGGTGAGTGAGTGAGTGAAGCTGCTGAGGACTGTAGGATGCCATTAGATTCAAAGATTTTAAAGCACTCCAGAAACTCAGTAAAGGACTTCCACGGGTCACATGCGGTCAGCCCTTTCCACCCCGATTGAGAATCGAATGGTTCTTATCTGTAGGATCTTTTCAAAATACACATTTCTCCCCCACCTTGTATTTTGACCCTTGTGCAGATTGCAAAAGCCCCACTGTTCATTCTAACTGCTCCAGCCCTGTCTAGGCAGGGATCCCTCATCTTGCCTGAATCCTTTGCTCCACAAATGAAGTAGCCGGGCTTGGTGAGCACAGGTGATTTGTCAGCAACACAGGCAGGATCAGAACTCCTGACTCCTGGCTCTGCATTCCTGATGCTGCATCCACCTAACGCTGACTTGGGCAGTGGTCTTCCCATTGGCTGCTATGGGTTCAACAATGGGTAATCAGTGTTCCCCAGGGACCTTGTGGGGGTGGTGGCCACATTGTTGCAATATGAGAGTGTAGTTACTGTCAGAGATGTATGGGCAGAGCTCAAGGGGAGCAGAGAGAGGGGATGTAGGAACTGCCCATCCACACTCCTTGATCCCATGAGAGAAGGCTCCCCAGAGGAGAGAGGACCAGGCATCAGCCATGGCCACTCGCACCCACGGGCATCAGCAGAGTTCATGCTACCCTCTCCTCCAGCATGTGTGAGGTCTGATTATTCCTTTCTCTCTTTGAGTGGATCCCAGGAGGGTAAGTTAAAGCCAGTAGTTAGAAACAGAAAGATACATCCAAGTTCTTGGATGAATGCACGATTTACAAAGGACATTAATCTTGGCTCAAGAAAACTATGGGGACCTATGACACAGCAGGCTCTACTTGGTGCTGCCCTGGGTTAAGGGACTAACAAGGTGACTAAAGTCTTTGCTTCTTGTGGCAATCACACAGTAGCAGGCAAGACAGCCACACACCTAAAGAACAAACAAGATCGTTTCAAAGACCAAGCATTTTATGAAGAAGCAAAACAAGGTGAAGTGAGAGGGAGAGAGAGTGGCAGGGCCCATGGGTAGGAAGTGGGCAAGGCAGTGTTCCTCTGAGGCCACTTTTAGCAACCATACTCAAGTCTGATTGGGCCAAACCTGGCCAGTAAATTCATCTCCGTGGCCGTGTGAGTGACAGGGCCGCTATTCCTGGACTGTATGTCTGTACAGAGGCTTTAGGGTTGAAAGGTCAGCTGAAAGCTTTGGGCTTGGCCAACCGGGCTGTGTGCAGAGGCCGAGGCCACCTTTGACTTTGGGAAGCTATATTAAGCTTGCCAAACGCTGGGGCAAGCTCAGCAGCCTCTGACACTGAGCTGTGTTCAGGGCTTGGGCTCCGGAGCTCATGGCAGCAGGACTTCCCCCAGTGGGCCAGTGACACAGGACAACAGGCCTCGGTGTGGGGAGCCACGGTGAGTGGTGCTTGGAACAGACATTTCCCATGTGTCCTGCTGTCCCAGCCCAGGCCCAGGCTCCTCCGGTGAGCTGGTAAGTGCAGATGGGGGGATGGGGGAGATGGGGGGGAGAGGAAGGTACGTGTGGGGAGGGAGGGTCCCAGAGTGGGAGCAGCCGGCCAGTGTCCCACTCTGTGCTCTGTCATTCTGCTGTTTGGGTTTCTCTCTCTCTGCTCTGGCTGGGCTTTCGGTTTTGAAGAGTGAAGAGAGCAGAACCAGCATGATGGAGGCAGAGACCCTGCAAACCTTTGCAAGCCACTTTTTGTTTTGGTTTCCTTTTCTCTCCTGTGGGGTTACAAATCCTGGCCCTGATTACTGTGCAGGGATTTTTCACGACCGGCAGAGGAGATGTGGATTTGAAAAACCATGGCTTAAGCTCCACAGTGCTCTATGGCAGTTATCTGGCTTTGGTGTTGCTCGGTGGGGTGTACTATACACCTAGGTAAACCCTGATTCAGGTTTACTGTATTGCGACAAAGTTCTAGGGCAATCCATTTCAAGAAGCACTCATTGAACCAGGCCCGGTACTAGGCACTCAGAGACCCACCCCCCCCCCCCCAAAAAAAAAGTTAGATTCAGTCTCTGCTCTGGGAGGCATCTAGGGGAAGATAGCAATCCCCAAACATACTAAACATATAATTAGGTACCTTTCAGATACAGGATCTAGCTACAGGGATCTAGCTACATTTTGAGTGTATGTATGAGAGTGTGTGTGTAAGTGTGTTTGGGTGTGTGAGTGTGTATATAGGAGTGTGTGTGTGAGTGTGGGTGAGAGATGATGCCGGATGTTTGTCAGTGTGATGTCTGCAGATAGGACTCTAAACAGCCCCTACGTGTCTTCTCCCCTCCCTGAACCCTGCTTACTGACCTGGGTTCTGTCCTTGGTAATTGCTGCTTAGGTATTTATTGGTAACTGAATTATTATCCTTTCAAACCTGTTTGCATTTTTATAGAGAATATTTAGATAATTAAAATTGCAAATGTTAGAGCTGGAATAGACCTTAAAGGTCATCCAGCCTGATGATGAAAACAAATTAAGCCATAAAGTCTCTGCTTCCAATGAAAGTGTATTTGGAAGCCCAACATACATGCTAACTAAAAACAGACCTGGGTGAAGCAGGACAGCAGATGAGGGGCCTCTACTTCCCTCTGCCCCCTCCCCCAGCTACTGCACAGCCCTCTCTCCCTCCGCCAGTTTGAAAACCACTCATCTCAAAATGAGGAAACGGAGTGTCTGTCGAGTGAAGGGACCAGGTCAAGACCACAGAGTGAGGAAGGAACAGGTCCAGACAGGAACGCAGGCCCAGGGGCCAGGCTCGTTACTCCTCGAGACATAGTTATGGAACGAGATTAAAGGAGTGCTACCGTGAGGAGTCTGCACCCTGGGATAGGAGCACCTGCTTGCAGCCTGGCTGTTTGTGGAATTTGGGCTGAAGACAGTTCAGAAATGTGGGACCTGATGTGCAAGCATGCAGGAAGCATTGGGTTGCTGGCTGGATCTGCACAGGGCAGCCAGCCAAGCAAGCAGCCAAGCACATTTCTATCCTGTTTTCAGGGAGCAGCCAGCCTGTGTGCAGGGGCAGGTGGGACCGTGTGGTGAATCTTGGCTCTAAAGTGCCTCTTCCAGCAGGGCTGCTTCTAATGGAACAAGACAGCAGGGGTTTGGGGCCTCTGAGCAAGGCAGTTAATGGGTTTGTGCTCTAATGGTTGCCTTAGATCTCATCTGCCATTGCTCTGAGCCCACACAAAGCCCAAACCAGCCAGAGAGATGGACAGAAGAGAGAACGTCCACTCACCTGTCCCAGCCTCCCTCTCTCACCACTGTCCTGACTCATGAAGAGTAGCTGTGTTGGGGAAGGACTGCTCACTCTGATAAGGGAGAGGGTGCCCCAAAGAAACTCTGCCCTTTCAGAAGTTGCTGGCCAATGCCTGAAGTGCACAGGAAGCTGCTAGGGCAGATGAGAACTGAGAATCTCCTGCCACTCAAGACAGACAGTGTGGTGAAGGAAGAGCAATTACCTGGGAACCAAGACCCTGCTGTTCTTTGTACCCCCAGGTCTAACTCAGACCTGGCCAGGAACCTCACCTGGTACCTAACCAGGTACAGTAGCCTTGGGTGTCTCCTCTGACCTCTTCTCATGCTGCTCTCTCATTCGGTTCACAGAGGTAGAGCTTCAAGGGCATTTTTTTCCTTGCCCCAAACCTGCAGTGCCTCTTTACTGCCTCCCAAACTAAATCCATCTTCCTAGCAATCAAGGCTCCAGGCTCTGTTGCCACCCTCCTCTCCCAGCCATCCTCTGGATACACCAGCTCCACAAACATCGGGCTTCTCTCTGGGCTTCTGCTCTCACAGCCTATTTCCCAACATTGGCCCATCCAAATCCTATCTGTTTTAGAAGATTTCAAGCCCTGGCTTAAATGCCACCTCTTTTAGGAAGTCTTCCTTGGTCTCGATAGCATGCAATCTTTCCTTCTTATACTACCCCAAACTGACTTTGAGTCTCATTAGTGGCCAGTTCCTTGAGATGGGTTCCTGTGTCTTTTTTCTTTTGGTTACATCCATGGTATTTCTGAATGAACAAATAAATATGCCACTTTCAGGCTGATTTCCCTCATTTGGAAAATAGGAAGACCCCTTTGGTTGTGTGAAGATTGAAAGAACACATTAGCACACAGCAGTCTTGGCATAGATGGTAGCAATGATTCTTTTTTTCCTTTTTTTTTTTTAAAAAAAGATTATTTATTTGAAAGGCAGAATTACAGAGAGGCAGAGGCAGAAGTGGAGAGAGAAGGGGGGGGTCTTTCATCCACTGGTTCGCTCCTAAATTGGCCACAATGGCTGGAGCTGCACCTATCCGAAGTCAGGAGCCAGGACCTTCCTCCAGATCTCCCACATGGGTACAGGGACCCAAGGACTTGAATCATTTTCTACTACTTTTCCAGGCCACAGAGAGAGCTGGATCAGAAGTGAAGCAGCCGGGACTTGAACTGGCACCCATATGGGATGCTGGCATTGCCAGCAGCTTTATCTGCTATACTACAGCGCCAGCCCCTGGCAATAATTCTTCTGTGGTCGCTGTGGGCTGGTGACAGTGGAGCTGACCCTGCTGGAGATGGAGTGGAGGAATAGGAATTTAGGTTCTCTGGAGCCCCAGGTGATGGTAACCTGTGTTTATTCCCCTTGAGCTTGCTTGTCTGTCTGAGGATTTTGGAGCAGAGCCAAGGTCAGCTGGAGTACTTGCTCCATGGGGTCGTCTGACCTTTCATTCCATGGGGTGGATCTAAGTGCTAATTTCTGTTTAAGTCACTTAGGAAAAGTTGTTGCCTAAAATCACACTGACAGAATTCCCATCACAACAGTGGTCCTTAACCCTGGCTGCACATTAGCATCATCTGGTGCACTTAAGCAAATGCCAGTACCAACAGACGTACTGAGCCAGTCTCTAGGCAGGGGTCCTAGCCATCGGTTTTTACAAAGCTCATTTGTGTGTGTCCAGGGTTGAGAATCTCTGTACCACACCAAATTAGAACAAAATACTGGTCACAGAATCCAGATGTTGTGTCTTAAATTTGCATGAAGAAGCAGTAGGGAGGACAGCTGTTTGGTCTAGTGGTTAAGATGCCTACATCTGTGGGCAAGTGCTTGGCATAGCAGTTATGATGCTGTTTAGGGCACCTGCATCCCATATTGGAATTCCTGGGTTGGAGTTCTGGCTCTAACTCCAGCTTTCTTCTAATATGCACCCTGGGAGGCAGCAAATTATGGCTCAAGTAATTGATCCCTACCACCCATGTAGGAGACCTAATCATGCTGCTGGCTTCTCTGGTCTTTGCCTGGCCCAGTCCCTGCTATTGTGGTCATTTGGTGAGTAAATCAGTGGATGGGAACTATCTCTTTATTTCTCTGTCTCTTTCTTTCTGTTTCTCTGCATTTCAAATAAATAAATGAGTATTTTTAGAAATACCCACATTCCATATCAGAGTACATGGGTTTGATACCCAGCTCCTAACTCCAGATTCTTGCTAAAGCAGACCCTGAGAGGCAGCAGGTGGTGCTCCACATAGTTGGGTCTCTGTCACTCATTTGGAAGACCTGGATTGAATTCCTGGCTCCTGGCTTCAGCCTGGTCAAGTCTCAGTGAACACTGTGGGGCGCAAACCAGTGAATGAGAGCTCTGCTTGTCCATCTGTCTCTCTCTCTGCCCCTCAAGTAGGTAAACTTGAAACATTTAAAAAGGAGCAGAAGGGAATATTCTCCCATCACATATGTGTTTCCATTCTCTATACAAATTATTATTTTTAAAAAATTCCTGGTGACTTTGATTCCAAAGAAGGCACTGAAGGCAGTGTCTTCTATTTTGTATCCCCCATGGCATTTCACCCAGAGCCTCTGTCCACCCGCTGTGCTTAGTGAATTGAAAACCTGGTAAATTTAGAAGGAACTTAACTCCTCTCCATTGTAGTTTATGTTTTATTGATCACTCCTTCTATCCCAAGAACCTTAAATAGAGATGAAAATCCTACCTTTGGGTCATTTTGAGAAGTACAGTCACTCTGGTTGCATGATTCAAATTCAGACAGACATAGGAAGTCAGGGCCCACCCCCCACCCTCAGCCTCCAGCTATTTATCAGATGTCTCTACGGGACACGTACACACATGCATACTTTCACTACCTTCATTTAAACCTGCTTGTAAGTTTTCTCAATCTTTGCACATGCTCTGACTCCTCTAAGAAACTGTACACAGATGGCCGGCGCCGCGGCTCACTAGGCTAATCCTCCGCCTAGCGGCGCCGGCACACCAGGTTCTAGTCCCGGTCGGGGCGCCGGATTCTGTCCCGGTTGCCCCTCTTCCAGGCCAGCCCTCTGCTGTGGCCAGGGAGTGCAGTGGAGGATGGCCCAGGTGCTTGGGCCCTGCACCCCATGGGAGACCAGGAAAAGCACCTGGCTCCTGGCTCCTGCCATCGGATCAGCGCGGTGCGCCGGCCGCAGCGCGCCAACCGCGGCGGCCATTGGAGGGTGAACCAACGGCAAAAGGAAGACCTTTCTCTCTGTCTCTCTCTCTCACTGTCCACTCTGCCTGTCAAAAAAAAATAAAGAAAGAAAGAAAAAAAAATTTTTAAAAGAAACTGTACACAGTTGAGGAATGGCAGACATACCTTCTAGGTTTGGTGCCTCCTTTCACAGCCCTTAGAATGTGGCTCTACACCATGGCACTCAGAAATAGTGCTCATTGGATGACCGGCTCATGTTTATTTGACTTGTTTCCTTTGATGGCTATAAAACAGTTATCTGAGTTACCTCCTGCAGCATCTTTTATCTCCCCAGGAGCACTGGGCAGCTCAGAGCTGACGGTGGGGAGGTAACATTCACTTGTGATAAGGATAAGGGAAAAGATCATATATTCAGTCTTTCCAGTCTATCAGCTCCATTCTTTGTGCTGGGCCCCACGTCAAGTTCTGGGCAGAAAAGGTACGGTGTCTGGCTCTACAGGTTTTACAATTTCATGGAAAGACACCCTGTTGGTTACAAACATGGTTCAAAACCATGATCTGGAGCTTTCTACCCAGTTTTTGGTGCCGTTGCAATGATTTGCATGTCAAGGTTAGCATTTTCATTGGGCTCATAAAGATGATCATTGCACACCCCTTCTCTTCCATTTACTGTGAACTCCTGCTGGGTATGCATTTGTGTTTGCTTTTGTACCCCAGAGCCTGGCACAGTGCCTGGTGTGGTGGATGTTCAGAATGTCTATTGATTGACTGATGAATGGATTTGCATTTTCTACTTGGCTCTCTTAGAGTCTAAGTCTTTTGCCTGAGGGCCGTAACTCCTCTTGGAGCATTGCTGAACAGGCAGCCAGTAGTTGATAAAAAATTTAAAAATGCACAGCTGACATTGTACTAGGTGTACTGTTCAGCGTGGATTTCTAGCTCGGTGAAACATGTGTGTTGAAAGACTAAAATCAGAGACTCTAATGGAGATGTGTTGTGATTTTAGCTTTATGTTTTGGCTTCTGGAAATGATTTCCTTCCCCTCATGTCACCGTTTTTTTCCCCTCTCTCTTAAATCCATATCACAGGTAGGGAGTTTCACATGTTCTGTACTTGGGAATGAGTTCCTGAAATAGAACTTGTTTTTCTCCAGTAGGCCCTTGTTGCATGGGCCTGCGGATTGGGTTTACCCTGGCTGTGTGCTTTATTGTGCTTTTTTTTCTCTTGCAGCTAAATGTGGTCAACAGCATCAGCAGTTCAGAGGACATCAAACCCTTACCAGGGCTTCCTGGGATTGGAAACATGAACTACCCGTCCACCAGTCCTGGATCTCTGGTTAAACACATCTGTGCCATTTGTGGCGACAGATCCTCAGGTACACACTGGACCACGTGCCCTCCCAGCTGCCCATGGATGAGGTCTCAGGAAAGAGGCTTGCTCAGCACCCACCTGGATACTGTGCATCTCGTGAAAGGGAAATGGCCCTTTAGGATGGTCCAGCTGGGGGCTAGCCTCTAAATTTCTGTCCCTGGGTTCACAGACTGCAGGCTTCATGAACTTATTTTGATGAAGATGTATTTATTTATTTGAAAGATTTAATTATTCATTTGTAAAGATTTCTTTATTTATCTGAGTAGTAGAGTTACAGACAGAGAGAGAGGGAAAGATAGCAAGGTCTTCCATCTGCTGGTTCACTCCCCAAATGGCTACAATGGCCAGAGCTGGGCTGATCCAAAGCTAAGAGCCAGGAACTTTTTCCAGATTTCCCACATGGGTGCCGGGGCCCAAGCACTTAGGCCATCTTCCGTTGCTTTCCCAGGCCGTCTGCAGAGACCTGGATCAGAAGTGGAGTAGATGGGACTTGAATCGGCACACGCATGGTGTGCTGGCGTTACCCACTATGCCACAGTGCCAACCCCCCTTAAAGATTTATTTTATTTATTTGAAAGGCAGAGTTACATACAGAAAGGGGGAACACACACATACATACAGACATACATAAAGTGAGGGAGAGGGGAGGAGGAGGAGGAGTGGGAAGGGGAGAGGGAGAGGGAGAGGGAAAGCGAGAGTGAGAGCCAGAGCAAGAGGGAGAGAAATCCATCTTCTGTTTGCTGGTTCACTGCCCAAATGACCACAACAGCTGGGGCTGGGCCAGTCTAAAGCCAGAAGCCGAGAACTCCAGCCAGGTCTTCTTACTTGGGTGGCAGGGGTCCAAACACTTGAGTCGTCTTTCACTGTATTCCCAGGCACGTTGGCAGGGAACTAGATCAGAATTGGAGCAGTAGGGACTCAGACCTGTATTACGATAAGGAATGCTGATGTCATAGGTGGCATCTTAACTCGCGGCACCACAATGCCAGCCCCAAGTTTTATTTATTTGAAAGGCAGAATAATAGAAGTGGTTGGAGGTAGTGGGGAGAGAGGCTCACTCACCAAATCACTGTAACAGCTAGGGTTGAGCCAGGTAGAAACCAGGAGCCTGGAGCTCCATCTGGATCTGCCACATGGGCAACAGGACCTGAAATACTTGGGTTATCATTTGCTGCCTTTCAGGTGCATTAGCAGGAAGCTGGGTAGGAGGCAGAGGCAGGACTTGATTCTTGGGCATCCCAAGAGGCATCTTAACTCACCACACCACAATGTCTGCTCCCAGTCTCTATGATTTAAAAGCACAATTTTACTTTGGAAGGTTAGAGTCACTGAAAACTGTTTGGAAGCTCCTCTCTGGAGTGACACAACCACATGTGTATCTGGGAAAGAGAAGCTGTTGTGATTACTAAGTAACACAAGCTAGATTTTCCTTAATTTTAAAAATATTATTTTTGATGATCATAAAAAAGTTCCAAATAAATAATTATAAAAGCAACATCCCAATATAAACACATTTGGAAGGACTAGAAAAGTACAAAGGAAAATAAAAAATCATGAGGAATGTCCCCAAGAAAGTGAAGCCCTTTAATATTTTAGTATATTTCCTTCTACAAAATTCTGGATTTTAAACCAATTTTTATGATCAGAGACAAATGTGTTTTCACAAATGTATCTTCTTTAGACCTCTTCAGTTTTGCCAAAATAGTTTCTTTCCTGACTTCTTTCCCTTGCTGTCCATCCCTTCTGCCCCCTGTTGCTTTCCTCACCAATTTTGAACACATTCGAAAGTCTGGTTTGATGATTTTTAATAAGACAGGGAAGCCCATTTTCTTTCCTATGGCCATCCATGATGGCCAACTCTATATTTCCTCATCCTCTCATCATCATCAAAGCCACTACGGTTGGTGCTATGCATGGAGAATTCCAGGTGCCTGGAACTTTGAGGCTACATGGCTGATGTTGGCTTACTCTCAAAACGATTTTCAGATCGTGCAGACTTGGCCATGGAAATAACAGAAAGCCAGTCATAACCCAATAGAACATTTTCCCTGCTATGGTTATTTTAGTTCAAAGTCTGGGTGGTTTATTCATATGTTGAAAAGCCATGGGAATGACTGCGTCATACAGTTGACAAATTGGTCCTATGTTTCTCAAAGACAAATATTTTAGGGCTGAGAGCATTCAATTCTTTGTGCCCAAGATAAAAAAATCCCGTATTTATCATTACTGTGAGTTGAGAGAGAGTTGAGTCAGCTAATTAGGCACGGACTGACTTTTCATCAAACGGCTATCTCCATCCGCCATTTCATCCTAGGGTGATTTCCTCTGAAATATAAGCTCTGGTGACACAGATGTTTACATCTGCTCAGTCTCAGGGACTTCACATGTATTTTAAGGTCAACCTAAACAAAACAGAAAGTCCTGTCATGTCTACAGCTAAATGGCATCACGGACATAAGTATGTTTTCTATGATCTGTTTCCTTATAATTGTCAAGTTCAGCAATTCCAATCAACCGAGCATTGGTGCCTGACGTGTAGTCCAGAGCCGACTTCTACTTAGAGAGAGGATTGTGATTGATTCATGATGCCTGTGTGTGGATGGGCACGGTGGCTCTCCTGGCTCAAATTAGCCATACCTGCCTGGGGCAATGAAAACGGAATGCTTGGGTCAGGAAAAAAGGGCAATGAAATGGGCAACAGATTATTGTGGGTCAAGCAAAACCACCTTCATTAGGAGCTTTATGTCATATTGCAACATAAAGTATCCTATTATGCTATAAGGATCATATACCAATTTATTTCTTCCACAAGCATAGCCCTTACAAATTCTTAGGTCAAGATTCTGCTCATAGATTATGGTAAAGGATAAGAATTTTAAGTAGGCTTCCTAAGAATTTGGGCCTCAATTATGAAGAAACATTAGACAGTGGTTCTCTTCCTCCTACATAATACATGCCAAGCATACATATCATTTAATGTATACCCACTTGTCTCACACCAAGGTGCACCATTTGTTTAATCAAACCCATAAGTTGCCTTGATAAAATAAATGTAAACATATAACCTTGGGCCAGGAATTTCCTAACAGCGCCTTCTGGGATTTGCGACCCAGAAGGAAGACACGAGGGAAGGTGCATTTACTCTGGCTTAGTTTGGGTCCTGTGATTCAGCCCACATTCTCTGCTACCTATCCTCTGCTTTCTGTCCCAGTGCCCAGATGATGCGCCTGTTTCCTTGGAGCAGGGGATAACCGAGGGGTTCTTATGAATGAAAGATGCAGTTAACACAAGAACAGCTGATGGGATGTTCTTTTCTCGCACCCAGGAAAGCACTATGGAGTGTACAGCTGTGAAGGCTGCAAAGGCTTCTTCAAGAGAACCATAAGGAAAGACCTCATCTACACGTGCCGGGATAATAAAGACTGCCTCATTGACAAGCGTCAGCGCAACCGCTGCCAGTACTGTCGCTATCAGAAGTGCCTTGTCATGGGCATGAAGAGGGAAGGTGAGACTCTCGGGAGATCCCCCTCCACTCAAGGGAAAGGAGTTTACATCTGAATAGTTGTAGGAGATAGGTACATAGCGAAGAGCCCCTTTGCCTTAGACTGTGTGCAAGGGAGAAGTTTGAAGTAAGACTTAGGATGACTCGGGGTACCATGACTTTTCTCTTTTTTTTCAGATTTATTTATTTATTTGAAAGTCAGAGTTACACACAGAGAGAAGGAGAAGCAGAGAGAGAGAGAGGTCTTCCATCCACTGGTTCACTCCCCAAATAGCTGCAATGGCCAGAGCTGGGTTGATCTGAAGCCAGGAGCCAGGAGCTTCTTCTGGGTCTTCCACACGGGTGTAAGGGGCCTGAGCACTTGAGCCATCTTCCACTGCTTTCCCAGGCCATAGCAGGGAGCTGGATAAGAAGTGGAGCAGCCAAGACTTGAACTGGTGCCCATATGGGATGCCGACACTGCAGGCGATGGCTTCACCCGCTATGACACAGTGCCGACCCCACCATGACTTTTCAAGAGTTGCAATTGAATGTCCATTCACCCTAGGAGAGGTCTCCAGAGTAAAGAGCAAGGAGCATCTTCCTCCATCGTGGTCACCCATCCTCTGCTGGAGCACAGATGGCAGCCCCCACCTTGGAGCCTCTCCCTCCTTTTTTGGTGATAGCCAGGCAACAAGTCTCAGAGCTAAGGTTCCAGGGTCCTTGTACTCGGCTCTCTCAGTGGAACATCACACTGACCTTCAAGTTGGAGCCAAATTCTCCCTTGTAAGCCTAGATCTCACTCTGGGGAAAACTGCAGGTTTGATTTCACTCTCTGGACTTTTGTAAGCTTGGTCTGCTATAAATCCTTTGAAATTGGTGTACCACATGGTCTTTTAGGATTATGGACATCACCAGGTCTGACGCATCTAGCCTTCTCATTCAAGACCATCAGTGTGCCTTTGAGCCATTATAGCTTTTAATTTATAATGTGGGTTAGTTGGGCTATCCCATTGTCAAGGAAAAAAATCCAAAAGTTCTTTTTGTTCCTTTCACAGATCGAAAAGTCTTTCTGTTAAGTAACACATATAAATTGAAGAGGACAGTTAATTAGCCAGTGAACGCAAGCAGGTACACAGTGTCACTGGTGCATCTTAATGGATCCTAGAGTAGGGAGGTGGTGTCCCCTTGAGGCCAGGGGAACAAGGAGCTTAGTTAGTCCCGGCAGGCTCCCCATTGCCCTAGAGCCTCCTTCCTGAGAGGCTGAGTCTGGATGAAAGAACCAATGAAGGGAAAGGTTCTTAGATCCCCTTCTTAGAGGAAACGCCACCCACAAGAGGGCAAAAAGATATTCTTGGCATTTTGACCTGTTGGGAAAGAGGACGCCTTCAGATTCTCCAGGTCAGCTGCACCCACCCCACAGGAGAGGAGACAGGCTCGGGGAGGTGAATGGGTTTTCCAGGGACCCAAAGGCAAGTGGTAAGCAGAGGCACGCTGGGCCCCCTGACTCTCAGGTTGTGCTCGTCTCCTGCCGGTGCGTGAACTGTGCTGTGACAACTAACAGGAATCTCCAAATTGCCAGACCCCAATCTGAGCTCATCCTCCTCTGCCCCCCACCCTTGGCCCATTCGTCACAGCCTTCACTGTGTCAGGAAATGGCCGTTCCAGTTTTCAGCCGCTCAAACCCAGATCCTTTGACTGCCCCTGCCTTCACCCTCCACATGCAGTGAGTGGGTCAGGAAATCTTGTCTCTTCCTCCCAGGACGCTCAGGATCTTTCCATGTTGCAGTACTTTTACTACTAACACAGTAAACCAAATTACTTCTGTATTTTTAAAAAGTTCTAGTTGACACATAACACTGACACCTCTTGTAATAACCTACGTAGCATCCTAAGAGGCCTCCTTGCTTCTGTCTTTGTCTATAGTCTCTTCTTGGAAGAGCAGCCAAACTGAGGCTTCGAGCAAATGGATCAGGTCAGATAGTTCCTCCTTTGGAGTCCCTCCGATGCCTTTCCTTCTCACTCTGAGAAGAGGCAAAGTCTTTGTTATGACTTCAAGGTCATATGTGATTTTGGACATCCACTGCCTCTTTGCTTCAGCCTTCCTGGCCTCTTTGCTGATGCTCAAGCACGTTAGGGATGTTCCTGCCCTAGGGTCTTTGCATTTGCTGTCTACCTGTCCAGAATGCTTCCTTCAGATCTTTATTCAATCACCACCTTCTAGGTGAAGCCTTGCCTGCTTACTGGATCTACTACCCCCAGTTATCACTGTCTAACACTGTCTGTCTCCCTGAAGGCAGGAGTTTTGTCTGCTTTATTTTTGTTGTTGTTGTTGTTGTTTTTTTTTCCACTGCTCTGTCACCAAAGAGTAGTACCCTAAAGCCCTTGAATACATTGCTGGGATTAGTTTAAAAGGAATGCTTAGAATTCAGAAATCTCAGAATTGCAGGAGTTGCTAAAAATCTCCTCCTTGTTCACTCATGGGGTGTTAATTGAGTGCTAACTTTGTGCTAATGCCAGGCTTGTTCTAGCAGGGAGGTCAGTGGTCTTATAGATTGGAACGTTTGATGTGAAAGATCTCCTATTGGAGGCTCTCTTCTTTCCATCAGGATTGAATTCAATGAATGACCACATGAGAGGCATGGCCACAGGGGTCATGTTCCTCCTTCTAGAACAGATGAGATAAATTTCAGATTGACTTGGGGGAACAACAGTTTTCTTTAAGCCTATGATATGGAATTAAAGGAAGGTGAGTGGCGTCCCTCAGAGAAGTCATCATAGTTGGTCTGATGCGTCTCTCAGGACTCCAGCTGGTCATCTCCCAGCTTGATCACAGTGGCCAGTGGGTCAAAAGGTGAGAAGCCTGATTCCTCCTTGTAAAAAGGATGTGAAGCAGGGACACATGGATAGTAGGCCTTTTTTAAACCTAGCATTGCTTATTAAACCACACTTGAATAGAAAGTCCAACCCAGGTTTTGCTCCTCTAAAAATGTGGAGAAACAGGAGGCTTGAAAAGCTGAGTAGTAAAAATTAAGAGGGAAGGAGCCCTTGGAGGAAATTCCTAAAGGAATCGGTGCCATTTGCCCTGACAATGAAGAAGTGAAGAAGCAAACTGATTCCTGATCTTGTTATGTGAGGGGCCACTCCCGAAAGGCTCCTTCCTGGAGCCTGGCCGTTCCCCCGCTGTGTCTGGCATTGCTTTATAGAATTGGGGGCTCAGTTCGGACGCTTTCTTGAGGAAAAGAATAATGAAATCCTGGAACAGGTAACTGAGCACTGAGAGACACTATGGAATTTATTTGTATATATAAAGATGAATGGGGTGGTCTCAGGCTCCCCCTGCCTGGACCTGTTGCTGTTTCAAAGTATCTAATGTTAAAGCCAGAATGGACATTTGCTATTCTCTGGTGGCACACATCCATTTCCTGAAAGAAGAGACAGCAGCTCAGAGAGGCTAGGATGTGTTCCAACTTGCCCAGCAGGAAAATGGTGGTCTGGTGTAGCACTGTGACCCTCTGGCTCCTAGGCCACTCAGGAATTCTGGGAAGAGTGGTTCCCTGATTTCTGATCTTACACATGTGATTTGAAGACTGGAGAACGGATTATCTCTGAGGCCGTTTGTGGACAGCTTTGGCATCCAGCAGGACTTTGTGACCAAAACAAGCCTAGTGGTCCAAAGACTGTTGAGAGGGGTCTGAGATGGCCTTGGGAGTCAGCCAGCCTGAGTCCCTGTGCTGGCTCTGCCACTTCCTGGCTGTGCGACCTTAGAGAACTCTCTAGGTTCTATGTGGCTCGTAGCACCCTAGAGGGTTATTGTGAGGATTAAATGAAATATAATCTGTATAAAGCATTGAACAATATTCCTGATGTAGAGAAAGAATGCCATACAGTTTGACCATTGTAGCACCTATAATTATGCAATAGATCCATGTCGGATGAGTGGCTAAAACCCCACTATAAGGCAGGACTTTGGGACTATTCTGGACCATTTACTGTTTCCTGGGTATGCAGTAGCAGAAGCTGCCAGTATCTGCAACATCGAAGATATTGTCCAATAACAGGCTTGTGATTTCTCATTTGTGGTGTGGTACAAAGAGAAAAAAATGAATAACAAAGGGTCACTCCATTCATGGCAAAAGCTGAGTTAAAATCTAATTCCCTGAAGCCAAGGTTATTTTCTTTGAAGTTTGAAGGTTATTCCCCCTGGATGTTACAAATCTGAAGAAGAAATTGATTGAGAAGCACAAAAGGAACTTAACATAGTTTGCTTCTCCCATCTTTTAAAATTCAGATGAGTAGAAGCCTGTGGACCCAACTTTAAAAAATTCATAAAAGCAGCATTTCATTCTGGCTGATAAATCCAGGTATAAGGAAATGCATGTTAGAGTTTTGCTACATTGTCAGTAAATGAGGACTGACAAGGTGGACAGGAAGTAAAGATGAGAAAGGAAAAGGAAGAGAACAAGGAGAGAGAGGGAGAGGCCAGAGAAGCAGATGGAAAGAGAACCAGAGACAAGCACAGGGGGAAGGGGAAAGAAGTTTTTCTATTGAACGTTATCATTTATTTCATTGATTCTCAGGTAAACAAATGACTTTGGTTAAACAGTATAATCTTTGCTTTAGAAATAGGGAAACTGAGCCTTCGCAGGCTAAGTGACACATCCAAGGTCATTGCACTAGTCTGTGGTAGAGCTAGATTCTGAAAAAGAGTGCTCTGCCAATAAGGCCTATGGTCCTTGCCTCTCTCTCTTTCTCTCTCCCCTCCCTGGGTTCCTCCTTATTCGCACTGCCTGTGTTGATTATCTCTGGGCTGTCTTCCCTTTCCCCTTCCCTCCCACTCTCCTCCCATCTCTCCCGACTGTAGAGTCCTGTTATCTGGGGGTCGTGTGGGGCGTCTGTGCCAGGCTCTGGAGCCTGGGCCGTCCCACCCTTCTGTGACCTAGAGAAGAGCAATGGTATCATGTGCATGACAAACCCTGGTGCCCGTCCATTCTGCAGCCCAGGTGGCTCTTCCTCCCTTCAGGGAGTAGGAGCTGCTTGTGCAGGTAGTCTGTGGGTCGGAAGGGAGAGAAGCTGAGAGTCCAAGTTGCTGGTGGAGTAGCTGTGGCTGAGTCTCAGGTTAGTTGCCTGCTTAGGAGTATAATTTTCTTGACTCTTGGGATATAAAAAAAATGAGTTCCGATATTGAATTCTGCCTGTTTCTGCTGGCAATAAGGCAGAACGCACAGTGTTCCAGACGATGGACACAAACCCAACAGAGGTTAGAGATGAGGACAGGGTTGGGACGGGAGGCTCTCCTGCTCCTGAAGCTCAGGGCCGGAAGATGCCGAGGGCCGGCATGAACTGTGATGGAGACCCTAGGTTCAGGGGAGGCTGAGATAGTTCCTATACCTCTGCCTAGGTACCCTCCCCCAGCCCCGACTCAGCACTGATTGGAAATGTCATGTAGGTGACAGCCCTCCACCCCTTCACTTACTGAATCCCCACAGCGGGCTCCCTGGAGATCTTCCCTGACAAGTCAGATCAGCTGATGCTGAGTTCAGGCTGGTGCACGAGGGGCAGACCTAATGGGACGTGAATGCCAAGGTTGATGCACAGGATCTGACAGAGGGAGTTTTAAAGTCACGCGCTGGCTGCTTAACTATTGCCTGCTCGTGGTTTATCCGAGCAGGCACATAAAGAACAATTGTAGGAAATGGTAAGGCTAGCCTTAGAAGACAGGGTAGAACCAGAATGTATTAAAGCTTAAGATTCAAAGACTATGGGCTAAGGAACCCCTCCTAGCTCTGAACAGTCACAGTCAATGCTTTGCTTTCCTTGTCTCATCTGTCAGCATTCTAACACCCCCATTTTACAGGTGAGGAGACTGAGCTTTAGATAGGTAGCTAAGTCTTCTGCACTTGTCCTGGGCATTCTGGTAACTTCTGCATGTCCCGCTTGCCTGTCAGCTGTGCAAGAAGAAAGGCAGAGGAGCCGGGAGCGAGCTGAGAGTGAGGCGGAATGTGCCAGCAGTGGCCATGAAGACATGCCCGTGGAGAGGATTCTGGAAGCTGAACTCGCTGTTGAACCAAAGACTGAATCCTATGGTGACATGAACATGGAAAATTCGGTGTGTGTTCTTACATCCCCAGCCATCGCCACTTCCTCCTTCGTGGGTCTGGATGTGGGGGAGGGGTGTGTTAGGGTCTCTGCACCTGTCCCTCACAGTCCTTTGTTCCTTTTTCAGACAAACGACCCTGTCACCAACATATGCCACGCTGCCGATAAGCAGCTCTTCACCCTCGTTGAGTGGGCCAAGCGTATTCCCCACTTCTCTGACCTCACCTTAGAGGATCAGGTCATTTTGCTCCGGGCAGGTAAAGCATACCGTGGTTCTTCTGCCTAGAGACAATCATCTGGGCTGCCATTTTGTAATTACTCATATAGATCCTTAAACAAAGTACTTGACAGAGCTGCAGCCCACCCAAGCTGTGTACAGTGTTGATGGACTAATCCTATCCAGGGGCTTTACATTAAAAAAAAAAATTAATGAGAGAAAAAGAGACAGAGATGATGGCAATGCCTACCATCTTCTGGTTCACTCCCCAAATGTCTGCAGTGTCTGGGACTTGGACAGGTTGACAAGAGGAACTCAGTCTAAGTCCCCCATGTGGGTAGCAGAGACTTGAGCCATCGTCTGCTGCCCCCAGGGTCTGCATTGGCAGGAAGCTGGAGTCAGGAGCTGCAGCTCCAGCACTGTGATGTGGGAAGCAGGTGTGTTAACCACCAGGTCAAACATCTGTCTCCAGGGCTTGTATTTTTTAATATGAGGAGTCTTCAAAAGATCGTGGAAAAGACATACTATGAAAAACCTTTGCATACGTTTCTAAATGTTTTTGTGCCAAAATAATTTATGTTTTAATCCCCTTTATCCACAAATTTTTGAACTACCTTGTATGATCTGTCAACTTTTCAACCTGGGTGGACCTTCGGAAAAACTTTCATTCCCAGATGAAAGATCGCTGGTCAATGCAGAACTGAGACTCTCCACCCATGCAAATTTTAATCCAGCCGTTATAATTCTCATTTAATTTTCCCAAACTGTCCAACCACTTTCATTGACAGTAATTTGAAACACTGCCTCGTTATTGTAATGAAGTTGGCAAATAAAGATAGTCCCATTTCACAGATCAGATACAGAAGCCAAAGATTTTGGCTTGTGCTTACACTAGGTGGAGTCCAAAGTCCCTTCCTATTTTAGGATTCTATGTGCTGTATTCTTTCTTGCCTCCCGTTTCTGGGACAGTGTGCTGCCCAGTGACATATGCCATGTCTCCTCTTTGTCACTGAGCCAGCAGGGCAATCTCATGAAGACTGGCTGAGCTTTGGAAACCAGCACTCTTGTTCGTCCCTGTTAGATAATAAGCAATCTCAGAGTGTCAGCTGATAGCCACATACTGTGCTGGGTGTTACTAGACAATGCTAAAGAATGAAACTAGGTTGTCAGGTCCTGGGGGCAGATACCAAAAGGTATATTTGCTTTATCTACCTGGGCAGCTAACATAATGACTGTTACCTCCTAAATGTTCAGCCCCCATTTGTTGACTGATTTTTTTAAGAGGGTTCTTGTCTTGAGGCCGTGAGAGTGTACAGAGCCTGACCATGGCTTAGCTTTTTTTCTCCACTAATTAGTCGTGTTGTCTTGAGCTAGTTCTTAGCCTCCCTAGAGTTCCAGTTCTGATTTTATTATGCGGGATGACAATGCAGGTATTGGGTGACTGTCAGTGAAGAAGAACGTGATTGGCTAACCCTCAAGGCTGCCTCTTCTCCTTGCAGGCTGGAATGAATTGCTGATCGCCTCTTTCTCCCACCGCTCGGTTTCTGTGCAGGATGGCATCCTTCTGGCCACAGGTCTACACGTCCACCGGAGCAGTGCCCACAGTGCTGGGGTTGGCTCCATCTTTGACAGGTGTCTCCCTTCTGCTTCCAGTATCCTCTCTGTGTGTATATACACATGTGCATATGTGCAACCATGCAGGTGCAGATGCCTGTAGGAAGTGCTGGGATGTAGGATGAGCAACCCAAACAGCTGCATTTGAACATGCTGTGACCACCAAGCACATGAAAATAGAAACCTGGGGAATGAGAGAGAAATTAACAGAAAGGTTGAGATTATATGGGGGCCGGCACCTTGGCTCACTTGGTTAATCCTCCGCCTGTGGCGCAGGCATCCCATATGGGTGCTGGGTTTTAGTCCTGATTGCTCCTCTTCCAGTCCAGCTCTCTGCTGTGGCCCAGAAGGGCAGTGGAGGATGGCCCAAGTGCTGGGCCCCTGCACCTGCGTGGGAGACCAGGAAGAAGAACCTGGCTCCTGGCTTCAGATCAGCGCAATGCCATCCATAGTGGCCATTTGGGGAGTGAACCAACGGAAGCAAGACCTTTCTCTCTGTCTCTCTATCTCTCCCACTGTCTATAACTCTACCTGTCAAATAAAAAAAAATTTAAAAAAAGAAGGGTTGAGATTATAGCAAGATGGACCAGCATAGTTGCTGGGAAGATATAACCACCATTATCCCCGTGGACTGTTAAAGAGGAGACTGAATGATTGACATGAGCTTGTAAGCTGCAGGGAGGTAGGGGCAGCTGCTTAATGTAGGGGCTGTGGAAGGGAAAACATCCAGGGTGGGTCATGTTCAGGAGGCCAGGCCAGCTGGGCTAGGCTGAGTTGATGCTGAACTGTGTGTAATCCAGGGCAGATAATTAGCAGTTTGGAGCCATCTGAGTCAGACAGTGTTGCCCTGACAGACTCTGTGCCTGAATGGAGCGGAAGGAAAATGAAGCCATCCGATTTGAAGACATGAATGAAATGAGTAGATCAGTGACCTAGGGAGACCTGGAGAAGAGGAGGGTAAAATTTACATTATAAGGATTTATTTATCTATTTGAAAGGCAGAGTAACACACACACACACACACACAGAGAGAGAGAGAGAGAGAGAGAGAGAGAGAGAGATCTTTCATCCACTGGTTCACTCCCCCAAGTAGTTGCAATGGCTGGAACTGGGCCAATCCGAAGCCAGGAGCCAGGGGTTTCTTCTGGGTCTCCCACATGGGTGCAGGGGCCCATGCACTTGGGCCATCCTCTGCTGCTTTCCCAGGCACGTTAGCAGGGAGTTGGATCAGAAGTGGAGCAGCCAGGACTTGAACCAGTGCTCGTATGGAATACTGGCACCACAGGCAGCGGCTTTAGCCGCTATGCCACAGCGCTGGCCCTGAGTAAACTGGAAAACGGTCTCCGTCTGATGCCTGGGCCCAGGGGCTCCCTTCCACCTTCACCATGTCTGGGCTCCTTGAGTCATGTGCATGTCCATCTAGGATGTCTGTGCTCCATCCCTGTGCTTTTCCATGTGTTTTGTTGTAATGACCAGCATGGTATTTGGACTGAGAACCCCTTCATGGTGTGTGTAGATTCCCATTGTTTCACTGCATGCTGCCCTGTGCTGTGTTCCAGACACATGGTGCCCTCATCCTGCTCTGTCTGGTGCATTCCTAATTCCCAAGTCTCCTGGGATACCTTTCTAGTTCCCTGCTCAGAGTCCGCAGGTTCCTCCTTTGGACCTGGGTTAGGGCAGTCATTTCACCAGGCTTTGTGCTGCCTTTTAGTGTCCCAGTGTCTGTCTCTTCAGTTAGACTAAGCTTCTTAGGATGAGGAGGGACTGCTTTACTCATCACCGTGCCCGTAGGACCTGGTGCATTATCCGGAAAGTGGGGTGCGTACATAACACTGAATTCATTGTATTGGCCCTTGCCCTTGGTTTTCTCACGACCTGCCCTTGTTTCCTGTGAACAGAGTTCTAACTGAGCTGGTTTCCAAAATGAAAGACATGCAGATGGATAAGTCGGAGCTGGGGTGCCTGCGAGCCATTGTGCTGTTTAACCCAGGTGACTGCTGCTTCATCCAGTGGCTGCAGAGGGTCTAGCTCTCCTCCAAGGCTGATGGCCAGTGCTCAGCTCAGCAGAGACTGAGCCATAGGTCCAGGAACACAGGAGGGCACAAGGCTCAACCACTCCTGGAGCCATCTTGAGAAGGGGTTTGAATTGGCCTGGGGTGTGCATGTCTGGGTGGGGTGGGTGGAGTGGGTGATATGCAATAGCAATGGCCTCTGGTGATAGAGGAGTTCATCAGAAGGGGCTCGAGTCTGGATGTGTTTCCAGGTAGAACCAGTGGGGTTTGCTGATGGGTGAAATACAGGATGTGAAGGAACGAGGGGAGTTGAGGAGAATTCCTAGGGGGTTTGTGTTTTGTTTTCCTGAACAGTTGGGATAATGGAGTTCTTATTTACTGAGCTGGAGACAATTCCAGGTGGAGCAAGTTCTGAGGGTGGGTGTGTAGGAATCAGGATTTGTCCTTGGACGTTAACATGGAAGATGGATTACAGGCATCTAAGATTAGCTGTCCCAGAAGCAGCTTGTAGGAGCAGACTTTTAAAAGTTTATGGAAAAACCAAATTAAAAGATAAATTGGTTTTGGTGCAAAAAAAATTTTTAAGCCCCAGACATAGTTTTTTCATCAATTTTCCATGAACTTTTTAAAGTACTCTCATTTGGGTTTGGACTTCATAGGAGAGGCCAGGGCGAGATATACCTCTGAGAACTGCCAAATGTAGGCTGTCAGATAAGACCGGGACACTGGCGTGCATTCAAGATGGAGCAGAAGTCTAGGGGCTGGGGCCGGGGTGTGGTGACATTTGGAGCTCAGGAGAAATGGATGAGCCGGCAGAGGAGCCCAGGAAGGGGCCATTGGGGCACAGGGGAGAGAACATTTAAGGGTAACCTGAGGACCCAGGGAAAAGTATTTCTGGAAGGGAGAGGTGACATCTTCATGGGATGCTGCCGTAGGCCTCAAGGATCAGTCTGCAGAGTGAGGTGGCTTTCCCTCCTGGTTTAGGGGGGCAGTTCACGGATGTGGGGTGCATACTGACTCCATTGTTGTGCCCCATCTCAGAGCTCTGTCCACACTTGGCACACAGTAGGCACTCAATACCTGTGTGAAACTGATCTTTCCAGAACAGCCCCAATGAATGAAACGCCCCCCCTTGGAGTCGGGGGTGGCCTCATTTGGCTATGTATGGAGTTGAGAACCTTTGCCCCAGGAGTGTCTTGGGCAGGTAGGGCACAGAAGGGAAGGCCAAGGGGCACCAATGTCCAGCTGTGTTTATGGCACAGTTGTCCACATCCAGGTGTCTCCAGGAATGCCAGGGGAGGGGGCTAGAGTGGTGGGGACAGCCTCTGTGGAAATGCATCCAGCCGAGGTATAGACTAGAAGCTAACTTGGTCACCTTTTTCAGATGCCAAGGGTCTGTCCAACCCCTCTGAGGTGGAGACTCTGCGAGAGAAAGTTTATGCCACGCTGGAGGCCTATACCAAGCAGAAGTATCCGGAACAACCAGGCAGGTGAGAGAGGACAGGAAGAATGGTCCTAACTGTGCTGCCACTCCCACTCGCCCTTTAGAGGGTACCCATCGGGCTGCCACCCTGCCTAGATGTTTCCAAATGTCACTGAATCTTCATGACAAGCTGAAAGCCACTAATGTGTTAGCCCCATGAGGCCAGAGGTCCTATCTGTCTTGTTCGCCGTTCACCACCCAGGCATCAGCACCCAAAGCAGTGTGCAACACGTGGTACCCTTCGTCTGTGGTTTCACTGCCTGTGGTTTCAGTCACAGAGGTGAGCTGCTGTCGGAACACATGAAACAGAACATTCCAGAAATAAACAATGCATGCGTTTTAAGTAACTTTTATGACAATGTATCATTGGAATTATTCTATTTTATTAGCTACTGCTGTCAATCTCTTCCTGTGCCTAATTTATAAATTGCACGGTCATGAGTGCATGTGTGTAGGAACAAACACTGTATGTAAACTGTCATATTTACATGCGTGTAGGAACAAACTTTGCATGTGGACTTTGTCATGGGTACATGTGTATATGAGCAGAGTGTGTGTGTAGAAGGGTGGCCCCACTCTCCATTTCAGGCATCCCCTGAGGATCTTGGATCTCATCTCCCATGGTAAGGGGGGACTATGGCATATGCATTTAAATATTGGGTGAAGGATCAAGTGGATGGGTCAATGTGGAGTTCACTCTCTCCAGTTTTTAACAAGGCATGGGAGCTCAGGAAGGGTGAGAGATTGCCCAGGCTCATAAAGCTGGCACATGGTTGGGGTGAGACATGAGCCCAGGTCTGCCTGGTTTCAAAGAGCTGGGGTCTGAATTGGCTACACTGCTCTCTGGTCTGCCCTTGTGGGAGCCCCCATGCGGTAGAATTATAGGCTTCGGTAGGCCGGCAGCTTGGCCACTGGTGCCCTGGGGACCCTCTGCGGCCTCTGCCAAGGTGCTGGGTCTGCCTCTGGTCTCCTTTTTGGGGAGAAGGATGCGGTTCTGGAAGATCTCGTGCCATCTGGCAGTGTGGGTGCTCCTGAGTCCCTGGGAAAACATTCCTCCCAAAAGATCCCCCAGCACAGAGCAGCGAGGATGTCACCCCCTCTGCTAACGCCAGTGCAAATGGGAAAACACGAGGGTGTGTCAAAAGTTCATGGAAATACATGGCGCAAAAAAACTGCATGGATTTAAAAATGTGTTTTTACCAAAACAGACATTGTGTAATTCCATTTTCCACGAGCTTTTGGAAGTACCCTTGCACAAGCCCCATCTCTCACAGAAAACTGGAAATGAAACCAAGAAAGCTGCCTTGATGTCATACAAGCTTCACTCTGGGACTAGTTTTGCATTCCCTGATGCTCATTAATGAATGTTTTCCCTCCGGGAAGCCTCATTTTCATCAAGCTGCTTCTCCTGAGCCATTGTCCACGAGTTGTCCAGAAGGAGTTGAGCTATGTGTTTTGTAGGGGGGTTTGGCTGGATCTAAGTTGGGGGTGCGTTTCAGCCTTTTGGTGAGTGAACAGGCAGGCCTAGTGTATCCACTGGATAGATTAAGCTGTGTTAAGGGAGCTACCAAGTATCAGAAGCTTCATGCAGTGGAAGTTTATTTCTCACCCATCAATCCAGCTGGGTGGGCAGTCAGTTCAGAGAGAGGGCTCTCTTCCATGCCAGCACTCAGGGACCCAGGCTCCTTCCTTCCTGTGGCTCCATGGTAACCTAGCGCCACACTGTGCATTGTATCCAGAAGGGGAAAGAGCACAGGGGTGGAGGAGTAAATAGGAGGGAGATGAAGTCCAATGGGTGAGACCTAGCTTGAGGGGTCCCTCACCCTCTGGTGACTCCCATTTGGCTGAAGCTTAGACACAAAGAAGGCTGGGGATGGGGTGTGGCTGGACAGTGAGGAAGAAGGCAAGAATGGATTTTGGTGACCACCCAGCAGTCTCTTCTTCACTGGCAATAGGTGAGCCTGAAAGAGCCCTGCTCTAGGGGTCTGGATGTGGCTTGGCCTCTGGCAGGCATGAACTCTGGGTGCGCCTCGCTGAGTGGAAGCCCCGGGTTGGTTGCTTTTTGCAGTGGCGTCCAGCTCCGCATTAGATGTGGGTGTTGAATGCATAGCAGGTACAGGGTATTAGGAATAGCACACCTTGTGCTCACCTCTTTCCTAGAACTGGAAAACAAGCAAAATAAACCCAACTCTGGCTTGTTCCTCATTACAGAAGCAATGTATATTTTAGTAGTACATCATGACAATATTTAAGATATGAAGCAGGTTTAAAAAATGGATTGTAAATACATTGATATCTTCTTTCTGGTATGCTTATGTACCTATCTATGTGCACATAGGAATATATATTTGCATATAAGAAAGTACAGTTTGGTGTATAATTATTTTCTGTTGCCATTCTAGGAATTTTTATCTGATTATTGACAAATGCAAATGATCATTTTTCAATGGTCCTGTGATATTTTGCAGTGTGGCTGTATCCTAATGTATTTTAGTGACTGCCTGTGGTTGACACTTAGGTTATTTCTGATATCACTTTAAAATCCTTGGAATGTCTCTCTTTTCCTGGAAGAGGTCTTCCAGGTGCCTGGGCTGCCTCTGGGCACCAGAGAGAGAGGCCACAGGTGTTGCAGGGACTAGGACAGAGCCTGGAAGTTCAGGGAAGTGGCAGAGGCTGGGTCCCCTGCCAGTCGGCAGTGTTCATCAAGCGCAGCCTGGACAGACAGAGGGACTGCCTAGACCAGTTCGTGGGAGGCTCAGCTGGTGCATCAGGGAGTCACTGGCTTGGCCAGTACTGTAGGCTGCTTCCCTCTGCTTGCAGAAGTGGGTTGGCAGGGCCAAGGTGAAGGAAGCCTTCTCAGTGGTGCAGTGCTGCCTCCCTGTGGACATTTTTCAGAATACACCTCACGGGGCCAAGTCCTGTGTGATCAGAAGCGGAGATGAAGGGCAAGAGGCTGTGATTTTCACACACACAGTCTTTCCCGCACACAGCAGGCTCCCCCGCAGGCAAACCCCCTTGGGTTTCACGGCTGTGAGCATTTATTTATTTGATTTGGGAGACAGAGAGAGAAAGTGAGAGGCATCTACTCTGTGTGGTCCACTTCCCAATGCGCACAGTGGCTGAGGAGGTACAGGGATAATGAGGTCTGAAGCCGGGGACCGGGAACGTCATTCAGGTCTCTCCCACGGCGGCAGGAACCTAACTACTTGAGCCATTGGGAACACATTAACAGGAAGCTGGGATTGAGAGTGGAGCGGGGACTCCAACCTAGACACTACAGTGTGGGATTTGAGTGCCCACCCCACGGCTGAGAGTATTAATTTCCACCATTGCATTCATGTCTGTAATCCCTGATCTTCCTAGCATGATGGCACGTGCAGTGGTATACAGATTGTAAAACATTGACATTTTCAGGGTAAAAGAAAACAGCATCTTCAGAATTCGTCTCAGCTTCCCTCTGCCCTCATAGAGATGCCTTCTCCCTTGTCCAGTTCCATAAAACTCTGCAAGGTCAGAGCTGAGTCCTTGCTTGGCGGTGTGATCCATGGTCCATTCAGGAGCCTTCAAGTACATTATCATTAGAAGCTTTTGGCCAGCTGTCTTGCTATTGGCACAGACCTTTAACCTATTAAAGCTATTTCTGCTCTTTTTTTACATGGTGCCACTTTTTAAAATCTGTAATGTGTTCTTGAAAGTCAGAGCAACACACAGAGAGACAGGGAAAGAGATCTTCCATCCGCTGATTCACTCCCCAAATACCTACAGTAGAGCTGGGGCTGAGCCAGGCCAAAGCTAGGAGCCTGGAACTCCCTCCGGTTCTCTCACGTGTTTGTATGTAGTGTGTGTGTGTGTGTGTGTGTGTGTCTTATACTGCTGCACTTTCTGAAAGCATCACGCACATAGGAATTTTCACATTTTCAAGGGGCAATGCAATTCCAATTTGAAAACATCCATGAGATAGTGTCATAAAGATAGAACTAAAATCAGAAATCTCTGACTTAGGGCTATAGGAACTAATGTGATTTGTATCCTTGTGCCTTTTATCAGAAGTTGTGAGTACATAACCTAATTTCTAGGAGCACTAGTGGCATTAAAAATGAACTTCAGAGTCCGGCGCCGCGGCTCACTAGGCTAATCCTCCGCCTAGCGGCGCCGGCACACCGGGTTCTAGTCCCGGTCGGGGCGCCGGATTCTGTCCCGGTTGCCCCTCTTCCAGTCCAGCTCTCTGCTGTGGCCAGGGAGTGCAGTGGAGGATGGCCCAAGTGCTTGGGCCCTGCACCCCATGGGAGACCAGGAAAAGCACCTGGCTCCTGGCTCCTGGCTCCTGCCATCGGATCAGCGCGGTGCGCCGGCCGCAGTGCGCCGGCCGCGGCGGCCATTGGAGGGTGAACCAACGGCAAAGGAAGACCTTTCTCTCTGTCTCTCTCTCTCACTGTCCACTCTGCCTGTCAAAAAAAAAAAAATGAACTTCAGAGGCAGGTGTGGTGGCACAGCAGGTTGAACTGCTGCTTGCGATGCCAGCATCCCATACCCGAGTGCCAGTTCAAGACCCAGCTGCTCTGCTTCTGACCCAGCTCCCTGCTGATGTGCTTGGGAAGCAGCAGGTGATGGCTGAGCACTTGGGTCCCTGCCACCCACATGGGAGGCCTGGATGGAGTTCAAGTCTCCTGGCTTTGGTCTGGCCCAGCCGCAGCTCTGCTGTGGGTATCTGGGGAGTGAATCAGTGGATGGAACACCTCTGTCTCTGTCTTTCAAGTGAGTGAAAATAAATATTTTTTAAGTAAGCTTCGTGGGCAGGAAAGGATTGAGAAATGCAGAGGGCCACATAGATGCAGTTTAAAATGCTGGGACAAGGAGCCTAAAATGGAGAGGGATGCATAGACGTGAGACAAACTTTTCCATGTGCTGCTGCCTTTCTGTTTTGTGACCCTCCCAACAAATGTCCTCAGTCATAGAAAAGCGTGTGTTGGGCTGTGCACATATGTGAGTGGTGAGGTCACATGTACACGCACATGTGTGAGGAGCAGGTGGTGTGTGTGAGTCAGGGTGAGAGGTATGTGTGTACACAGGTGTATGAAGCCCACATGGTATATGTGAGTCAGTGTAGACACACACACATATGGTAGTGGTTTCCCTGCAGGCCCAGGGTCTGTGATTTCTCTCTCCCACTTTTCCGAACTCAAAGGTAAGCATGGGCTAAGAAGTTGCCCATAACAATTGGGTGATGTTTGGTTACAAATTGGCAACAAAAATTTGGTAATCAAAATGTACTGTGGTCATCTCACCTAAAGTGACTGGACTATGGGGGGAAAGTTTGGCCTCCTGAAAGCAGGGATGCAGCTCTTGCACACAGTAGGTGCTCAGACATGCTCACCTACTGGGGACAGCGCATGTGACATGCCACACTCTGTCCTAAGTGCTGCACCAACGCCTGGGCTGTGGAGAACGTGAGAAACACCAGACTCAGCAGTGCAGCCCCTTCTCCCTGCCACCATGCAGGAGGGCAGGGCAGGGACATGGCCGCAGGATTTCAAGGGCTTGCCAGAGGTCAGGGGATCCAGCTTCCACCCTGAACACAAAGCGGCTCTCTGGCCTGTTAGAGGGTCTCCATCTCCCTCTTCTCCCCCTCTAGGCTCTTTGGTCACAGGTTGGCGGAGAAGATCCAAGGGACCCCCTCCCACCAGCAGGTGCCCCGTGCAGGCCCTCCCTGGTTGCTAACGCCTCTTTGGCTCCACCTGCAGGTTTGCCAAGCTGCTGCTGCGCCTCCCAGCCCTGCGCTCCATTGGCTTGAAGTGCCTGGAGCACCTCTTCTTCTTCAAGCTCATCGGGGACACCCCCATCGACACCTTTCTGATGGAGATGCTGGAGACTCCCCTGCAGATCACCTGAGCCCCACCAGTCACAGCCTGCCCACCCAGTATCACTCCTCCTCCCGGCCTGACCCCCTTCCTGTTCCCCAAATGTGATGCTTATAATAAAGAAAACCTTTCTACGCATGAGAATTTTATAGGTGGAGTTTTGTATGGATGTTAAAGGTAACCCTTCTTTGCTGTTTAAGGGGCTGGGGGTGGGGGTCTTTATGGAAGTTCTCGGAAAAGCTCACCAAGCATCTGTACATAGCATTGGTTTAAATTATTTTTTCACTTGCCATGGAAAGCAAACAAAGAAACAATAAATATGATATTGGCACTGCGTGGAGCACAGGGTGTGTTATTGTCTGCAGAGAAGCTATCTCAGATGTGGGAAGGGGGTGGGTTAGCCAGATTTTTGTTACTACAATGAGTTACCTGAGACAAGCTACTTAGGAAGAGAAAGGGCCTATGTAGCCCAGTTTTGGAGGTTCATGTTCAAGGTCAGGTGGTGGATGGCGATGACAGGGAACATGCAGAAGAAGAGTCCCAGGGTAAGCCAGTAAGGGGGCAGTGGGGGCGGGCCCAAACTCAGGATTGCAGGAAGGGCACACCCCCAGTGACCTAAGGACCATCCTACTAGACCTCAATCCTAAGGGTCACAAGGTGCATCCCACCTCCCAATCATGCAACCCTGGGGACCAAGCCTTTAACACACGAGCCCTTGACAGACACCCAAGCTCATACCAGGCAGAACTGAGGGACACTGGTGGGGTGGCTGGAGTCCTGAGACCATGAGCCTGGAGCTAGCTGCCTGAGTCTAAGCCAGGCTTCCTGACACAGAGTCATCCCAGGAAAGACACTTTCCAAGTCAGTGTGCCCTGCCGTGTTTGTTCCTCTTCCAGGAATAAGCAGAGATGATCTTGTTCTGGAATTGAGCATGAGGCCCAAAGGTGTCCTTTGCACAAGGCAGGCTTCTCGGGCCCTTGCAGTTGGTGGGAGGTGGGACAGTGCAGAGGGTTTTCTATTATTAACCAGCAACAATGGCCAAAGGACTACAGCACACCAGGTTTATTTTGCATAGCCTGTTCTTAAAAGGAAGAGAAAGAGGCCAGTGCTGTGGCATAGAAGGTAAAGCCTCCACCTACAGTGCTGGCATCCCATACGGGCACTGGTTCGAGTCCTGGCTGCTCCACTTCCGGTCCAGCTCTCTGCTGTGGCCTGAGAAAGCAGTGGAAAATGGCCCAAGTGTTTGGTTTCCTGAACCCACATGGGAGACCCAGAGGAAGCTCCTGGCTCCTGGCTTTGGATCGGCGCAGCTCTGGCCTTGCAGCCATCTGGGGAATGAACCAGTGGGTGGAAGACCTCTTTCTCTCTCTCTGCCTCTGTCTCTCTGTAACTCTGACTTTCAAGTAAACCAATAAAATCTTAGAGAGAGAGAGAGAGAGAGAGAGAGACCCTGTTTCAACTTGTAGCCTAGGATCTATAGGTTTACCTAGTGATCCTGGGCCCTGTTTTTTTGCCAGAGAGTGAGCCCACTGAAGGAAGGGACCATGTCCAAGTGACAGCACTATTTGATATTTTGTTTTCAGATCCCTGCCATCTGCAAAGGATAGGGCTGGGCGGACAATGGATCCGTACTATGATTTGCACACAGTGTAAGTGCACAACCTGAACAACTGTACAAGGCAGTCCTGTTGACCAGAACCCGACCCAGGCCCTGGCACACACTAAGCACACAGTGATGTGTGTTGTGTGGCCCTCAGAAAACCGCAGGGCTAACATTTAAGTTCAAACCCTTCGATCAGTTATCATACAACTGTGGAGAAACAAATTGCTTGATTCCTGGGGAAAGTTTAAGGGTCTGTTAGTTATTGCCTTGAAGCGATGGAATTATAATATATTTTTTTAAAGATTTATTTATTTATTTATTTGAAAGGCAGAGTTAGATGCCTTCCACCGCCAGTTCACTACCCAATTGGTGCAATGGCCAGAGCTGGGCCGATCCAAAGCCAGGAGCCAGGAGCTTCTTCTAGGTCCCCCACATGGGTGGCAGGGGCCCAAGTACTTGGGCCATCTTTGGCTGCTTTCCCAGGTGTATTAGCAGGGAGCTGGATCAGGAGTGGAGCAGTCGCTATGCCAAAACACCAGCCCCAGAATGAAAATCTTAATATGCCGATTGTTTCCTTTACTTTTGTTTTTCATTTGCATTTTTTGCTGAACTGTAATAAAAACAGTCCAGCTAGGGGTGGGTGGGGGGCTCCCTGACGTCTCCCCTTCCCCGGCATAATCCACAGGACCCTCTGAGTTGTCTTTTAGGGAAGGGGTGTCAGCTCTTCATCCCTGTAACCGATCCCCACGAGGAGCTACCTGGGAAGGAACAAGGAGTGTTTTCACTCGCAGCCTGGGCGGCTCACAATCCAAGGCAGTCCCCTTGTTCTGGCACATGAGGGTGGCGCCTGGCTGTGGTGGAGTGTAGAGAAGTCATGGGGTGAGCCAGTAGGCAGAGGGAGGGAAGCGAGGCCCAACTTCGGAGGGGCAGGCAGAGGGAGGGAAGCTAGGCTCAACTTCGGAGGGCTTGTCCCCCGTGAGCTAGAGACCTCCAGACAGCGTGAGTGGATGGAGCAGTCACCCTCAATCCACTAACCATTAATGGAAGATCTTGGGAACCAAACCAGATATTGGCCCAGGCCCTTGGGAGACACCCAAACCATTATCCAACCCACACAATGAGCCTTCCAGGAAAATTCACTGCCTCCTGCCCCAACGGTGGTAACCCAAGGCCCATTTCTAGCTTTGATTTCCTCTTTACCAACCTGTAGCTCTTGTCTGTAGCAAAGCACAGGCTGAGCAAGGCCCAGCAGGACCTGTGCCATCCACAGGAGGCTGGCTCTTCCAGAAGTGCTTTACGGAATCTCACTGAGACGGAACAGAAGCCCAGATGGAGTCGACACAGGCGGCCCCCTGACAGTCACAGCCTCCAGGGTCACCTCCTGGCTCCCCTCCCTCCCCAGGGTGACCAACTGGGTGGGTGTGTAGCCCCAGCCGCAGTGAAATTCAACCTGCCTTAACGTGTGGCTCTGCAGTAGGCAGGACAAGCTTCAGAGCACACATCTCCCGACAGATCCCTGCTCGGGCCGCCCACGCCACCACCAGGCAGGACTGGGACTGTGGGAGGACAGACGGGTCACTGCTGGCTGACACTGTCTCAGGCCCTCAACCCCTCACCCAGATCACACACTGGATGCATCCATTCCTGTTTTCCACAGGGCTCTCACTGAGGATGGGCTCTGGATTAGGGCTGAAAAGTTATAGGTTCTGGACTTGGACAACTGTAGCCTGGCTCTGCTGTGGGGTGACCCCTGGCTAGTCTTTGTCCATGTTGTTGTCTCCAGCCAAGAAGGCATTCAAGGAGGAAACACAAAGTGTACAGGAAAGCAGGATTTATTTAAAGTAAAGGAGAAGTACACATTCAAGGAGTGAGGGGGAGCTGGACAGAGAAAGAATAAACCAACCAACCAACCAACCAACCAACAAAAGAAACCTCCACCCCACTCCCAACAAAGTTCAGACCTTTCTTTAATACTATTAGGAGGGGCTGGCACTGTGGTGTAGTGGATAAAGCCTCTGCCTGTAGTGCTGGCATCCCATATGAGCGCCAGTTCGAGTCCCAGCTGCTCCACTTCCGATCTGAGCTCTCTGCTATGGCCTGGGAAAGCAGAAGAAGATTGGGCCCCTGCACCCATGTGGGAGACCCAGAGGAAGCTCCTGGCTCCTGGCTTCAGATTGGCGAAGCTCCAGCTGTTACAGCCATCTGAGGAGTGAACCAGCGGATGGAAGACGACCCCCAACCCCCATCTCTCTGTAACTGACTTTCAAAGTAAATAAAGCGGCTCAACAGGCTAATCCTCCGCCTAGCGGCGCCGGCACACCAGGTTCTAGTCCCGGTCGGGGTGCCGGATTCTGTCCCGGTTGCCCCTCTTCCAGGCCAGCTCTCTGCTGTGGCCCGGGAGTGCAGTGGAGGATGGCCCAAGTGCTTGGGCCCTGCACCCCATGGGAGACCAGGATAAGTACCTGGCTCCTGCCTTCAGATCAGCGTGGTGCACCGGCCGCAGCGCGCCAGCAGTGGCGGCCATTGGAGGGTGAACCAATGGCAAAGGAAGACCTTTCTGTCTCTCTCTCTGTCCACTCAGCCTGTCAAAAAAAAAAAAAAATACTACTGGAAGGCATAGGGAGTGGTGTTGGGAGTAGGCTTAATTGAATATGCAAAGAGGGTGGACTTTGGGCAGAGCTTGAGGCCCACCCACTTCTGTGTCCTTTCTTGGAAATCTCAGAAGTGTTAAGGCATCAGGTACATGACAGGAGTGCTGGCCATGGTCATTTTGTATAATGACATTATGATGATCTAAAGGTCATTGTGTGGACACAGCCTGCAACGGTATTGGATATTTCCAGTGGGCACTGGTTCTAACTTGGCAACATTGCAGAACTTGCAATTTCTACTATCAGAAGGTAGTGGACAGGGTTTGGTGGTGCATAGAAGGCAAGCTCGGGCAGTGCACAGAAAGGCATCTAGGCAGTGAGGATATGGAAAAGTTTGGATGCTGTAGGCTGGGCTGCCATGTGGAGGCCAGCCACAGCTGCTGCACCAGGCAGGGCTGCTACTCAGACCAGCCAGAGCTATCCTGCAGTGGGTCACACAGGATCCTGCTGGGCTACAGCAAGGCAGTGCCATCAAAGCTTAGTGCCTCTCTGCTACTACCTACCTGCCTACGTCTGCTCCAGCCAGGAGCCTTGTGTTTGGGGGGAAGTTGTCCAATGTCTCTGGTTCTCACATCCTTCTCTTATTTGTAAAAGGTTGGTAATAACACACCTTGTAAGGATAAAGAGATAAGAGATACACAACACCCAGTGTCAGCGTATGTGCATGACCTACTCCGTAAAATGGATAACTATGCTGTGTGCACCACAGCGTTCTGATAAGGAATCTATGAGCTAACACGAGTAAACCTCTTTGCATAGTGGCTAGCACAGAACATGAGAAAAATGTTAATGTATGTTCTGTTGACAAGTGACTTTGTAGCTCAAATTTCATTTTCAGTTTTTGAGGAAATGACCAGGTCAGTCTATTACTCAGCCTGGCCTGGATCATCCAATGTATTGTTCAAAAGTAGGGGCTTCTAATTTTGATCAGCACTTTCATTTCAGGTGCTGCCTCCATCAGTCAAATGGCACTAATGGTGCTGAAAATGGGAAAACCTGATTTACCTAACGGTGTTGATAATGGGAAAGCCATGTACAAGCTGTGAAAACCATGAAAATGCAAAGGGTGTTGCCTTTGCGGAGTCA